CCCTGCTCCATGGGAATTCCTGCTCCACTGGGATTCCTGCTCCACCCTGCTCTGTTCTAGAAGGGATGGATCCCCAAACCATCCCATCCCATCGAATCCTATGATCCTGGCGGGACCTTCCGGCTTTTATTTCTCCTGTTTTTTGTTGGATTTCTCCCCGGTGCCATTCCCAACCCTCCTCTGCCAAGCCAGGAATAGGATAAATATCCGCCTTTTATCAACGCCTGCCTTTTTTATGGATATCAAATGCAAATGAGCACCAGAAAGAGATGCCAAGTCCCTTAAAATGTGACTCCAGGGATGCTCCCGAGGGAGCTCATCCCGGCTTTCCAGCTAAAATAGATCCGTCAGAGCACTATAAATATGTGCAAATACAGGCGCCCGTTTAATCCCAAATTCCTCTCTCCCGGCAAAACTCTGGAGCCTGACGCCTTCCCGGAGCGGGGGCTGGGAGCAGGAGAATTCCCGAAGGATGAGGGGGCACCTCCGGGGATGTTGGAGTGGCCAAGTGGCTCCAAGGGGTCCGAAATCTTCCCTGGGAGCTGCAGGACTGGGAGGCGGGGATGGGAATCTGGAGTTTTTCCCTGTGAGCATTCCCAGCGTGGAGCTGTCCCAGTGCTGCAGCGCCGGGATCCGGAGCGGATCCTCGGCATTCCAATCCCACTCCCGCAGTTCCCGGGTGTGCCCTCCCTCCGGCTCACCTTCCCTGCTCCCAAAATCCATAAACCCTGCAGGAGATCGATCCCTGCGCTCGGCCCCGGCGCGGCCGATCCCGGCCCGGAGCCATCCCAGATCCTGGTGCCGGCTGCGGCTCTGGCGCGGCGAGGGGCAAAGCTGCTCCAATCCCCGGAATCCGGCTGGAAGGGTCCTTGCTGCAAGGGATTCTCCCTGAAAGATTGTTCTGTCTGTTCCCTCTGGGGGCCGGGGAGGAATTCCTCCTGGAATCCCGGTGTGGGATCCCGCAGGGATTCTGTGGGATGCTGTGGGGTACCAGGAATGCTCTGGAATGTCCATGGGATGCTGAGGGATGCCTTGGGATGCTCCAGGATATCCCAGGGCTGCTGTGGGGTACCAGGGATGCTCCAGGATATCCCAGGGCTGCTGTGGGGTACCAGGAATGCTCCAGGATATCCCGGGGCTGCTGTGGGATACCAGGAATGCTCTGGAATGTCCATGGGCTGCTGTGGGATGCCTTGGGATGCTCCAGGATATCCCGGGGCTGCTGTGGGGTACCAGG